AGATGTTTCCCATATTTTGCTTATTAACTCCTTAATTTCCAAATTGTCCTTCAGACGTCTGTCATATCTGAAGATTCTCTGTCCTTTCTTCTTTGATGTATCTAGGAATGCAAGGAGAGGCCTATGGTCCGATCCTTCAAATTTGAGATACTGATTTCGGCAAGACGGAAAAAGTTCTGTCCATTCACTGTTACTGATCGAGCGGTCAAGCCTGCACAACACCAGATGTGTATGTCTCTTTCCCCTCCAAGATAAAAAGCTCCCTGAGAACTTTAAATCAAATAGGCCATTTTGTGACAGGAAAGCTCTAAACGCTCCGAAAGACCCTTCGGCTCTTGCAGGTCCTCCGCATTTTTCACTGTTGTCAACAATTTCATTGAAATCTCCTGTGAGGAACCAAGGTTCTCCTGAGGTTGTCTGGAGGCCTGAGATTGCGTCCCAAACCTGTAGTCGTTTTGCTTGATCCGGCTCCCCATATACAAAGGTAGAGTGAAAACTCTTCCCCTTGTAATTGATGATTGTATCAATGAAGTTATGTGATGTAGAGATAACTTGTAAATCGATATCTGGTTTCCAGGAGAGAAACAGACCCCCTCCTCCTGGTGAATGTGGTGGCACTGCAGTGAACTTGTTTGTCTGAAGCCAGTGTAGTTCTTTCACCACCATTTCCGTAGGGTTTTTGGTCTCCATCAGAAAAACAATATCAGGATCATTCTTCCGTTGGATTTCCTTCAATCGCTGGACTGTTATGGGGTTCCCCAACCCACAGCAGTTCCAGCTGAGAATAGCTAAGGAGCCTGGTGTGGAAGAGGCCGAAAATCCGTCCTCTTCCTTGTGGCTGGGATCAGTTGTATTGGTGGGTTTACATCACCTCCTGCCGCCTCTCCTGTTCCTCTTGTAGCTGGGGCTTTTGGCTGCCCCCCCGAAGTACCTCTGTTTCTATCTCCAGTGTTTGCTCCAGGTGAAGCTTGAATTTGTGAGATCTTTCTTATTTTAGAACTAGTACCTCGTAGGACATTAGGACTTGCCCTTGGCGATTTCCGTTTTGGGGGTTTCCCTGTTCTTCTCTTCCTTTTGTGTAATGTAGTCCCCGAAGGAACACGGTCTTGTGGAAAAGAGGAGGAGACTTCAGTGTCTGAAGTCGGACTAACCACCACCGATTTCAGTTTTGCAGGTTTGGTGACCAGTTGGTTTTGTCTTTGTGATGATGTCTCATTGAACATGACTCCAATACCAAAATCTTCTTCCTCCTCCAGGACCCTTGGTGCACTTTCCTGAGATGGAGCGGGGAGGTACCAGTCATTTTGGGGAAACTCATTAATAGGTGGTGGAGTAACAGGATTACTATCCTCCGTTCTCAACTGGAGTACCAAGTTCTGTTGCCTCTCAGTGTTAGTAGTAAGAATAGCTGCAGCTGTATCCTCCAATAAATTAGTCTCCTCTCCGAGAAAGACTCTCTGGCATCTGGCTGCAGCTTCGACAGGGTCTGGGTGGCTCAGATACATTCTTGTGACTTGGCGAAGTTGGTCCATCACGGCTTCTCTAGGTTCTAGAAGTTCTTTTTCTTTGTCTCCCGTGTTAACCAAAGGTAGGTTGTACGCTCTTGCCACCATTTTCCCAGCCTCGAGTTCCATTATTCCTGCCGCGTCCTCTTCTAACACTCTCTGTTTTCTTGCTGCTGCCTCCACCGGATCAGGACAGTTCAGGTACTGTCTCGTGGTTTGCTGAAGTTCTTCCATCATTGCCTCTCGTGCAGTGGCGATAGTGTCATTTATCCTTGGACCATTCTGGTCCACAAGTTGCTCAGTTGAAACCTCTCTTGAGGTATTACCCCCCTTCTCTATGTAAATTCCTTCTCGCAGTTGTTGATTCTGGTTCTGCCTGTCTGCTGATCTAGGCTGCGGAAGGTTAATAGGTTTGTCAATTCCTCTGCGGTAAGTAGACAACACCGCTTGTGGTTTTTTAATCCTCCATTCTTTAAGCTCCCTTTGAGGGAAAGGTGTCCTTGTTGATTGTTCTCTGTCGAATTTTACATTCCTTGCAGTAGTGTAGGGGGGAGAGATGCAAGCTCGAGAGGCCTGGTCGTGCAAGTCTAGATCTTTGGAGTTTGTCGGTGTTTCCTTTCGAGAAGCAAACTCATCATTTCTCCGGGGCCCTTCATAAACCATCGGTGGAAGTCGTGTTTGTTTCGTAGCAATGCGGTTCCCAAATATATTACCATGTCTGTCAATCCTGCTATGAAATGGCACTTGAGATTGTTGTTCCTCATTCGACCTCCTGTTTTGACTGTGTGGAAGGGTCGCCTGTTCCTTTCTTAGGTGTCGCACTCACGTTAACTTTCACGCTGGTTGATTACTATGATACCCCTAATGAATTAAAAATATATTTAAATATTATTATTTCCTTTTTAAAATCTTCCAAATAACAATATAAAACAAAAAGGAAATAGTTATAAAATTTACAAAACTATTTAAAAACGAAAAAAATAAGTATATATATATAATATGG